TGATACCTCTAATACTGTATTATACAGAGTACTTTTAAGAACTTTCGGTCTGCGCTTGTGATTTCTTACTCCTAGGATGAGAAATTTTAGTGTCATTTTCTTCAATGCCAACTTGCATAAGCCTTGGGTATAACAAAGAATTTACAGAATTTATAATCCATATCACTATGAGAAACAAATATCTAGAAATCAATTTTTAACAATTTGTTCTCAAGTAAAATTTATATACACTGAAATGCACCAATATTAAGTATACATTTTGGTGAATTTTGACAAATATAATATATATTTCTATTATTGGAAAGATCAATTGATTGCATGTTTCTACTTTGAGATGTGAATTACTTTTGGTATAATTTCTATAGGAAAAATAATTGTCTATTGAAAGCACCTGTATGTCAGAGACCACTACTAAAAACTACTTCAGTGCTTTATTGCATAAAGCAACCGTTTACTATGCTCACAGATTCTGTTGTCAGGAATTTATACAGAGAGTATAACAGATCTTATTTCTCCTTCATGATGTCTGAGGGCTCACATGAAAAACGTGGAAAACTGAAAACTGGAGTCATCTTAAAACACCTCCCTCACATGTCTTCCAGCTGAATCTGGTTGTCAGTTTGAGGCCTCAGTTTTTTGGTTTTTTACTATGCACTTCTCTATGTGTTCTCTTCTTAGAGGCAGTTTGGGGTTTTTCCACAGCATGGTGGTTGGATTTCAAGGATAAGTGTCTCAAAATAAAGAGATCTAGACAGGAAATGTATTCATTTTATGACCTTGCCTTGGAATCACAAGGCATCAACTCTACTGGCGTAGTCACTAGCTTCGGCCCAAATTCAAGAGAAACAATCTCTTCTTGAAAGGAGAATCAACGTCATATTGTAAGCGAATGTTGTATGGAAGATATTGTTGTGTTACTGTCATTTAAGAAAATCTTATCTGCCACAGCGGTGAAGGTGGAATACAGAACATAACACATTGCTTTATTTCTTATCTAATAAGGCTGTACAGATAATGAAAACTTATGGGGATTTTATGCAGCATACCACTCTATGTATTTATATCCTGAAGTTATTCTAAGCATATTCACAGCAAAAATCATTATCTTTATGTTTGAGACATAGTCTTTTTAACTGCTTATATCTTTCAAAAGATCCTTTTCTTATTATGTTATTGTGAAAATAGAAATCCACTGATAATCTAGTAATAAACTTTAGTTGACCCATTCATGTTTTCCCATTGTCATGAAAATTTAATAAATATTTTCAAAAATATAGACAAGAAAAATGTACAGTAACTGTAAACATAGACAAGAACAAATATCACTGGACACATAGAAGATAATCTTGTGCTAATAGCTTAATCACCACTATGACATAAATCAACTGTTATAATGGCATCTACATTAGGACAATTATATAAGAGTTGTGGCATCTTTGTGTTCCAAGAGCTGACACTTAAAGAAGAAAAATATAATTTCATACTTACGTTTTGGAGGAAATAAGACAGTTTTATCATTTTTTTCTTTTTATTAAATTTATTGGGATGACATTAGTTTATAACATTATACAGGTTTCAAGTGTACAATTCTATAGTACACCATCTGTACATTGCATTGTGTGCACACTACCCAAAGCCAAATCTTCCATTACTGTATATTGGATCCCCTTTACCCTTTACTACCTCCCAACTCACTTCCCTCTGATAACCACCATACTGTTGTCTGTGTCTATGAGTTTTTGTTTGTTTTTACAGTTTGTG